TTTAATATAATAATCTCTCCTTAAAAACAATTCATGGATGTTAGATCCACTACCACCCCAATGTTATACATCTCCCCTAAAAACACCACCATTTCTCACCTGTGTTGTCGGAGACCGCCTAGGCTCCCTCCAGACAAACTCTTCTACCGGATCCTCATCTCCGCAGTCCTCGACACCCGAGTCGCCGTCCAAACCACTATTCTCTCCACCCGCTGGCGCACCGCCTAGAAATCAATCCTCACTTCCCTCCACTTCCAAACCTCCTCCCCTCCGGCCAACGCCAACCGCTTCAGCCTCTTCGTCGAGAACATCCTCACCCTCCGCGACCCCGATTCCGCCGACCTCTCCACCCTCTCCCTCGCCGCCCACGACCCCACCGACCCCAAATTAACCGATCTCTTCGACCGGATCTACTCCTACGGCTCAACCCACCGCGCCCGAACCTTTCGGTTCGCTGACCTAACCCTAACCATCGCAATTAATCCTTTCCCCCAAAAATTCACCACCCTCTGTGCCACCGTCAAACACCTCAAAATCGCCGCCAAATTCGACCTCCACAAACTTATCGCCGAGGCCTCGAATTTCCCAACCTAAGCTCTCTCTGCCTCCGCCGCTGTGTGATCCCCACCTCGACCTGAACCGTGGCAGTGTATTCCGATCAGTAGTGCTACATTCACAAGCCTTTCGAGCCCATGCCGAATCGGGAGAAGTTGGAGCTGGTCCACTGCGAGTTCGAGACTACTATCGCGGTCAAGGTGTCCAGGGAGGTGGAGATCGTGATCGTAGACAACGACGATGAGAATGGTAAGAACTACTAAGGTCAACTATGGTAAGATCTCTATTTGACGGTGGAGTATGTGAAGTTACCGCAGCCTATGAGAGATTATTAGTGTGAAAATGAGGTGGAAATTATTAAAAATTTTATTTTTTATTTGCCACATCACTAATTTAATCGTCAACTAATAGAGTTGACTGCCATGTAGGACAAACTTAACGGAGTTGGACGGAGACTGACCAATGATGAAACGAAAATGAAAAGTTAGTGACCACGAACGAAATTAAATATTTTTAGGGGTAGTTATCATAAATGGTCACAATTCTATTAGCTTTGTACAAAACGGTAACAATCCTTTAATTTTGCACGTTTCGGTAAGAAAGGTTTGAGCGAATAACAAAATGGTCAATCCGTCCAATTCCGTCCAAAACTCCGTCCCAAATCGCCACATCAGCATGCCACGTCATTGTAAATAATAATTAAAAATGGATTAGTCAGCCACTTAACCCGAGACTCCAACCGGTCGAAACCATCCTTTACCCATCACAAACCCGGATCATATCTTCAATTTGTCATTCTTCATCCTCAAAATCGCGAGTTGGAGGCGCCCTAAGGAGACAAAACGTCGCCACTCGTGGGAGCGATTCGGCGCCGTCGCCAAGTCCTCCTCGCCGGCATCATCCTCTTCGCAAATCGTGGGAGACGTTCTCCTCGCCAAGTCCTCCTCGCCGCCACCAAACCCCAAATCCTCTCGTCATAACCCTCTTCGCCGGCCGAACTGTAGAGATTGGTCGCGATTCTTCTGCCGTCGCCAAGTGATCCTCGCCTGCGCCAACTGTCGGAAGCCATCTCCTATCATCCCGACGTGCAGGAGAGCGATTCCTCCTCTCAACCTCTAATCGGTCATTCTCCTCTGTTTTCTTAAAACAACTTCCCCTGTTTATTTGTTGTTTTTTACAGAGATGGTAAAAGGTTTGATTGAAGTGAAGAAATGTGACGGAACTCCATTTGGAAAGGATTACGTAAAATCCACACTTAGAATCAAAACTTATGGAATAAAAATTGCAAGATTAAAGGTTAGGATTGTAAGACATGAGACTGGAAGAAGACATATGGAAGTAGCTCTGTTTTTGTGCGTGGCCGGAAATTAATCTTTCAAACTCGCCTACCTAACTCCCTACTCTTTTCTTCGCCGTCACTCGATCTGGGTCGGTCATCATTTCCCTACTCGTTGGCGCCGCCATAAAGGCTGCCGACCACCTCGGAATCTTCCCTTCAGCCGGCGCCTCCGCTAGGGATGTTGTTGCCAACCTAATTCTAATTAATAATTGGAAATGGTGAAGAAAACCTAGCACCGCTCTTAGGGTTTGGGGTGAGTTGTCGCCGCAGTGGACTGGCATCAATTGTCGGCACCACGCAGCATTGCCCCGTCGCCGTCGAGGAGCTCCGGAAAAGCATTTTTATAGTTTGTGTATTGCGATGATTAACTGAATTTTTATTAATATTTTTAATGACGTGTCATGCTGATTGGGCAAAAGATAACGGAGTTTTGGACGGAAGTGGACGGATTAACTAATTCGTTATTCACTCAAACTTGTCTTACCAAAACGTGCAAAATTAAAGGATTGTGACCGTTTTGTACAAAGTAAATAGGTTTGTGACCATTTATGATAATTACCCATATTTTTAGTGACCAAACATGAAATTTCTTGTAATTTCAATTTCACTATTTCAGTGACTAAACATGCAATTAACCGGTTCTAAAACATTCACTCTTTACGTCGGCTTTGCCGTCTGACCTTCTTCTTCCAACAATGGCGTCTCTTTGAAACATCCAAAATCTAGAAAAGAGTAAAATAAACCCAGAATCCAGATAAAACAAACTTGCTAAAAGGTTAATTTTTTAGGGCTTGTCTCCTAATTACAGAATCCTTTCGTCCTTCCTTTCTCTTCTCGACTTCTTTCTTTCATTAGGGAATTGGCCGATTGGGTTCGATGTCCTGCGGCGAAGAATTTTTAAACAGGAAACATGGCGGATAATTCCAGAGATACGGAAAGGACGATGGATGGTGGTGGCACTGAGATGGAAAATGACATCCCAGCTTCCACTTCTTCTGGGTATCGATTGTTCGGCCGGCAGGTCCCTCTGCACCAGTTCATGGGCGGTGGAAGAGGTAAAACACTGAAAACGTAAACCTGAAAGGTTATTTTTGCTGAATTTCGCAGCTAGTTCGATGTAATACGTAATTTGTCAGAATGGAATATCTTCTTGATTTGGAGCCAAAAGCCGGTTCATCTTCTAGTTGTGATTGTTGTATAATGAGATGCTCCTTCTGTTTGCCAGTGGAATTGGAGAATGTGCTGCGAGTGGAATAACACATAGAGTTCTTCCCTCTCTTGTTATACAAGAAAGTTCATGGTTTTATGTGCTAGAGAATTGAGCGAACAAGGAGTGAGATAGGATGTTTATGATAGCCTGATGCTGATGTTTTAACTATTGGGATTTAGTCTCTTGTACTTGTTGAGAGCCAAACCTTTTGATTTCAGTTCATTCAGTCCCATAGTTTATCAGCTCCTCTTGGCTCTTGATACTTTTGGCAATGTTTATTGTTTGACATGATAAGAAGACAGTATAGAGTCCTTCCATTGTCCCTTGATGTATCTGCTAATCTTGCATACACTTTTGCTCTACTGAAGAACACAATCAAGGACCATATGCTCGTATTTGAATACCTGACAACGCACCAGTTTGTATTCTTTCCATGCATGTTGTTGATGTATAATGAATGATATATCCAATACTAAATTATTTAATATCATTTATGCTACCCATTTCTTGCATGTCAAAGGAAGTTCGGTGTGTTGCTTTCAACATCACCTTTGCAGTCTTTGTGTTTATTGCTAGTGTTTTGTATAACGTTTCTCTCACTTTATATAGCTGCTGATGTACTCTTGTGGAAGCGACGTCACATTTCCTTTGGTGTTGTTGTTGTGGTGACATTGGGGTGGTTCTTATTTGAACGCTCTGGATTACCATTCTTAACAGTTAGCTCAGATATCCTGTTGATTCTGATAGTTCTGTTGTTTGCCCATTCCAACTATGCTGCTATGAGAAACAAGTAAAAACCTCTATCCCTTACCTTTGGATGTTTTACATTTTTCTTCCACTTATATTGTGATGGTGAAAACCAGCTTATCAATGACAACCCTTCTTTGGTTTCTGTATTGAGCAGACAACCGCAGGCATTACCTGAACTAGTTTTGTCGGAGGAAATGGTCAACAGTGTTGCAGCATCTTTTCGAGTTAAAATCAACAACATGCTTCTCATGGCTCATGAAATCACCCTTGGCAAAGATTTTAGACTCTTCTTTAAGGTCGGTATTGCATCATTTAAAAACAATATCCGAGACTTTTGCATGTGTGAAGCTGATGTTGCTTGACTGGCTGATTTCAGAAGTCAGGTCTCACTTCATCTTCTCATATACTTGTGCAGGTGGTTGTCTCTTTGTGGCTCTTATCTGCGATTGGTAGCTACTTCTCTTTCTTCACTTTAGCCTATATAGGTGAGTTTTGGTCGCGGCTTTCTGATCCAACTAAGCATTTCTATATCAAGTTGTTGCAAAGAAATTTCTTTACAGAATGCGAAACTTCAAATTTGATGAGTAACATGTTGTCTAATGAATGATGTCGGTCACAGGAACAGTGTTGTCAATTACAGTTCCAGCATTGTATAGCAAGAACGAAGAGCGAGTGGGTAGATATTTCGGGATGATCCATAAGAGGTTTAAGATAGTGGATGAGAGTGTGATTAGTCGAATCCCTCAGGGATTGTCATCCAAGGACAAAGATACCTGACTGGTACGGCATGTACATACATATATTGGTGAATGCTTGTTGTCTTCTGGTTGTCAAGGTCCTTGTAGCTGGTTTTGGAGGAATTGCATTTGTACAAATGAACCAAAATTGAACTAGATTGTTCCCCATGCCGGTACTATTGATTTTGGCATGAGATCGAAAATTTGATTAAGCAAGTTGCAAAATTTTATATAAAAGGTGTTTTTTCCCCTTTACTGATTGCGCCATGTATGCCTGTGTTTTGAGAGTTGCATGTCATCAAAGAGCCATAGTTTTGTTTCAATTTTATAGAGTTATTGTGGTGTTAGTAACAATTCACATTTCAATAGCTCAACAAAGAATTATGTATACGAACTTAATTGCTTATATGCCAAGTACCTTAGTTTATAATTCGCCTAGTATCTTAGTTGATCAAACATGCAAACTTGTATTATAAGACTAGGGTTACATAAAATAGGTCATTAACGTACAAGAGTCGGCAAAAACACCAACGCACCCAAACCCCTGAAATCACGGAACATCCTTCGTCACATCAATGCAAATCAGCTTCATCGAATTTCCACATTCTGCATTGTCTATTACTACTGATAGGATGCGAGAACTTCAAAGAGGGTGTCTAACCAACTAGCACATCTTTGCACACTTATTATCCTTGGAGCAATTCCTTTGCCTTCTTCACCCAAACAGCGTAGATGTCATCCGAGAACAAGATAAAATGCACCTGCAGAATTGAGACAAACTCCAAATGAGTTCGTAGAATAGCTCAGTTTTGTTGTCAATGTTTGCTGTATATGCTTAGCAACAGGCGTTCTATGTGCTTGCGTACAAATGCAATGACTTGAAAAATTTCAGAGACAACAAGGTTGATGAATGATGATAATGAACTATAGGGCTCATCGGACCCAAAACGAAACAAAGTAGAATTTTGATACCTCTTTGAAGTCATTTGGAAATTCCTTGATCGTAGATATAGCCACATCAGCAGCTTCTTCAAAAGGATACCTGAAACAATTATGAAACGAAGAGTGAAGAGTCTTTTCAGAAGTCCAATGCTCATCACAAGCAGGACAGCCAGCCTCATAACAACACCCAAATCCACTAATTTCGTACTTGTCATGGCTCTAATCAATTCCTAGTAGAGCTGGTTCCTCATCAGTGTAGAAACTCAAGGACAAACCAAACTTTGTCATTCATCAAATTTCTATATCTCATCCAGGAACATGAAGAACAAGATAAGGCAGGCAAATGTGTATCGAAGAGGGCCAATCTTACCCGTAGACACCACAAGATATTGCTGGGAATGCAACGTACTTAATGTTATTATCTTTGGCAACAATCAAACTGTTCCTGCAACCCATGTATCAGGAAACTGAATTCAGCATCCTTAATTAGAACATAAGCTTTGAAGTGACGTCAACCCCATACAACGGATGCTCTGCAACTGTTACCTATATGCGCTCGTCAGGGATGCTTTAGGGTTGTTATCGGTGTCATAGATAGGGCCTACTGTGTGAATGACATGGGATGCTGGCAATTTGAAGCCTCTGGAGACATTTTCAACAAAGTCATAGGAAAAGGGAGAAAAGAGAAGACAGTACAATGGGTGAGAGATCAGATGTGTGATAAAACTAGGGGTTTACTTTAAAGCACCAAAGCAAGAGCATACGGGGTAATCCTTGCTTCTCCTGTTGGACAGCGGATACCAGGCCTTACTTCAGGGACCTTAAAGCAAGCTTCACGCAGTTCTGGTCCAGCAACTCTATGAATAGCTAACAAGATCCACCACTCAAAAAACCAGATTGAATACTCGCTGAAAATGTTAGACCAAAACTACACTCAAGGAGTTTCATCGGCATATCAGGTCAAAGTTACCTCCATCTGCACCACCGCCTCCAAGCATTCTCTCATTTGCAGGGTTAACCTGATAGAACAAAAGCCACAGATTAACAACTCATCCCACTGACTCCAAAGCTGTATAAACCCCATAGCCAGGAAAAGAAAAACGAGGACTACTACTTTGAAGCATCAAAACTCATCATTAAGGAATTGAACCCACGAGATCATTTTGAAAGAAAGAGACGAAAGGGCGGAAAGGGAACTGAGGGTTACTTACAATGGCATCGGAGGAAGCATCGACGAACCACTTGGTGATGTCTCCTTTATTGATCTTCAAGACACTGGGGGCAGAGAGAGGGAAAGCGACACTGGAGTCGTCGTCGTCTCTAGCAGCAGAGGTGGCCATCGGTGAGGTTAGGGGTTGACCAGAGGAAGTAGGACGGCGGTTGGGGTGGCGGAGGAAAGAATAGGAGCGAGAGTTTATTATAAGAGAAGATTGTGGGCGGAGGGAGGATCGTCGGGAGAGAGGCGGTGAAAGAGGGTATCCGCCAGTAGCGGAGGGGGTACATCCGGTCCCCCACTATATTATCTCCGGAGGTTGTTCCGTTAGTAGCGGAGGTTATCCGTCAGAGAAAAATGCGTTGGTGTGACCTCAAACTAAACCAGTAATTTGACCCGTCGATTTACAGTGTCATCAAAACTATTTCTCTTACTCGTCAGAATGTGGATGATAGACTGATCTGGCATGATACGGTTGACAGGGCGTTCACGGTTAAATTGGCCTACCACTTTGCTGTCTTACTTGATAAGCAAAGTGGTCGTTGTCGGTCAATGGTTAGTTGGATGGATAGGACCAGCTGAATTCATTTGTGGGAGCTAATATTCCGCCCAAATTGAAAGTGTTTTTCTGGAAAATCTTTAACCGAATCCTGCCAACTACTAAAGCCCTAATAGAGAAGGATCTCCCCGTGCTTCCCAGATGCCCGGTTTGTTGGGTTGATTCGGAAACAATGGAGCACTTGTTTCTATATTGTCCGGTGGCGCGTGCCCTTTGGGACTATTCAGGTCCGGAGTATCTTGGGCAAGGGTTGCCTCGTCACACCTTCCCTCTCTTTCAAAAAAAGTTGATCTCATTAATACATCAACCTTCTCTGTTCATGACGCTTGTTGCCATCCTTTGTAGAATCTGGCGGTCTCGTAACTGGGTTGTTTTTGAGAGAAAATAGTTTGGTTTACCTCTCTTGATGCGCCAGTTTCACCAACAATATGAGGAGTGGGTAAGTTTGCTAGTGGATCGAGCACCTCAGTCTCCCATCCCTTTGGTACAACACTTGGGTTTTGGGGGGACTAATAAGGTTGTTTGTATGTGGGATGAGGCTACGAGGAGTGGTTCTCATTCGGCAGGTGCGATGGTTGTTAAGAACCCAGTTAGGGAAGTCCTTATGGCTAATGGAATTCAATTTTCGTTGATTGTTGACCCTATGGTGGTCGAATTGATCGTGCTCCGGGAGGCTATTTTATGGTTTCTAGGCCACGGCTTCACGAAAATGAGGTTCGAAGGAGATGCCAAAGTAATTATTGAGAAGATCAATCGGGATGATACCAGAGATAACCAGATGGGGGCTATTCTTGAAGCAATCGTGCATTATTTTGCCATCCACTTTGGGTTTAGTGTTCGATTTGTAGGTCGGCGTAGTAATAGGGTAGCCCATGCGGTGGCTAAAAAGACTATTTCTTTGTACCCGACTATGAGTCGTTTATTTGATTTCTGGACCTGGCTGAACTCCAGGATGTAAATGTCTATTTTTTGAATTAATACATGATTACCTTCTGTAAAAAAAAGATCAAACCGTCGTTCGAACGACCTAACCTCGGCAAATGAAAGAGAAAATGTTAGATTTTCCCCTTCATTTATTTCTCTAAGTCTGATTGAAGTGAAATCATTTTAAATATTAAATTATGTATCGAAAGAGTAGTATGAGATATGAGGGTATTCTCGATTTTATCTTATTTATCGCGAGCCCTAATTAGGGGGTTTAGGCTATACAAAAAGAAATAAAAAATATTTAAGTGAAATTATTAGTGATATTTTGGACATTGGTGTTGTCCAAACCAAGGTTTGACATGGTTGACGGTCTTTGGATTTGAATTTTAATAAAAATGCATGTTCGATAATTTTTCCAAAGTAAAAGAGCATGTTTAATGTAAAAAATAATACAGGGGCATGTTTGATTAAATGCATAGTAGATGGTCATATTATACCTATAACACATACTTAAACCGATTGGATTCAACTACTTAGACTAGAGGTGAGTGGTCAAAAGTAAAATGGCTTGGGGAAGGTTTGAGTTTCAGTCCTTAAGGCTCATTCATTGAGGAGAATCTTAAAGCCTTTGACTCGTTCCAACTACAATATCGCGATCGACAGGCGAGTATAACCGTGGAATGAGTGTAGCATAGGTCAAGCAAGCAATAATAATTTATCGTACTGCGGGGATCTAGGCTTACCTTACTTCGGTTTAGGGTTCGTTATCTAGCCAACCTAGGATAGTGATTAATAAAACTAAACTAACCAACATAAACTAACCACTAACCTATATATTTACAAGGTTTGAAGCTATCTTGGGTTGAATCGTCCTAGGTCCGTCCCTTGGATCGATGTTGGGTATCCTCCTAGCTCGATCGACTCAAATACTCTACCGTTAGGATATGGACTCCCTCGGGAATGACCCAGAACTACGAATCGATGAATGGGGTGTGCTCTATTCAATCTAGGGAAACCCTATATGATAGGAGATTGATGGAATCGACTCCCTCGGGGATCACCCGGACGATATAGGATGAGGAGTGACCCAAAGACACCAATAATGAGCTCTAAGGGAATCTTCTCCCTCCTAGTTCGAAAGCTCAAAACATTAAAATGGAAACCCAACTCATGCAATTCATAAAACGTCCACCAATTAAGTAAAATCATCAATCAAACATGAAATTTATCACATACATCAACAACAAACCAAAACCTAGACCTAGGGTTCTTAAACCCAAGAGAAGAGGGTGAGTTTCTAGAGAGAGAAGAGAGATATTACAAATTGGAGCCCAAAATCTTCTTCTTCTTTTAGGCTTGATTATTTGCTCCCAAGTTTGATCAATGCCTTCAATTAAGCTCAAAGACCACTAAAGAACTCTCTCTCTCTCTCTCTCTCTCTCTCTGTTACACCCCGCTCTTCTAAATTTTAAAATGACTATTTTACCCTTGGATTAATTCGTCAAGCTTCACCGTAATATTGATGAGGACTAAAAGCGGGAACCATCGATTCGAACGATGTCGAATTTCGACGTAAAATGACGAAGTGTTGAGCTTGGGTCAAGACCAAGTTAAAGAGTTGGGCTGAGTGGGCCTGGGTTTGGTTGTCATGGGCGGCCCATTTGCAATATAGAGGAGTTGGGCTTAAGTGAGAGGTTTGGAGGAGATTGAGAAGAGAGGAAAAGGAAGGGAATGGGCCTGAATAGGCTGGCGGCCCAGTCGAGAGAGCAGAAAAGAGAGGAAGGAGGGGTGGACTAGGCTCGCGGCCCGGAGAAGGAAAGGAAGGACGGGGTTGGCCTGCCGGCCCAGATGAAAGAAGAGGAAAGAAGAAGGGCTTTGGCCCGAGTGAGAGAGAGAGTGGGGGAACGGGCTGAGGCCCGAGAGAGGAAGAGAAGGAGTGGGTCTGGGGAGGAAAAGGATCCTCCCTCTCCTTGGCGAAGTCGATCAGACGCGGAAGGGAGGAAGGGCCAGTCTGAATAAAAAAAAGACAACAGAGGAAGATGAACGGAGTCGGGGGTTCGCCGGGAAATTGGGGGTAACGGACGACAGCTTTGGGGAGGGGTTTTAGCAGAATTTATTAGGCAAATAAATGGGGGATCGTTAATCGATTGAGATCAGGGTTATTAAAAACAAGGATGAAGTGCAGGGGAGAAGCAGAGTGCGAGGAGGAGAGAGGGTCGTGGTGAGCCGTTCCGACGAACACAACCGTAGGTTCGAAATGAAGAAGACGACGCGATTCCTGAGAAGAGGAAGAAGGTGGGCAATCCGTGGACGCGTGAGGAGTCCCAGGAACGCAGCGGCGACGACAAATCTCGACGGTAACTTCGACGTTCGCGTCGTTCCCAGCGTCGACAAGGCGATTAATGAAGCAGGGGAAGCAGAGAGGATGCAGGTCTACCCTCCGAAGCGACCAGGGGTGTTCACGATCCGTCATTGGCCTCCGAATTGTGGCCCGAGGAGGAATGGCGAAGATGATGGCGGCGGAGGGAAGCTCCACGTGGCTCCAGGCGGTGAACCCTTGCACGAAGAAGAAGATGACGAGCTGGAGGAGGAGCCGGAGCCGGAGGCGGAGGAGGAGCTCGATGGTGGCCGGGGTTTGGAGGTCGACGGCGGCGGCGGGATTGAGGAGAATTTGCAAAAGGAGATGATGGAGCATGGAATCTCGGACGATGACATGGATCAATCGGCAATAAAGAGGGGTCGTTTGGATCGATCAAGGTCGGCTATTAAGGTGAGTGTAAAGGGGGTAAAATCTCCATCGAGGTCTTTTAGTTTATGCCTTTTTAATTCAGTTATGTTATTTAATTTTTTTCTAGTAAGCGCGATTGTGTTTGTGAGGCATCCCACCGCCTACTTAAGGTGGAGGCACGCGTTGTGCTATGTATGTGTGTGTTTATGATGTACGGTTGATGGTAAGATGAACCCCCAGGCGGTTGGGCCACTACTGGACGCGGTAGATGGTTGGGTCACTACTGGACGGCGATACGTAACGCAGTAGTTGACCGGGCATGGACTGGACGGCGATACGTAACGCTGTACCATTGCCTTGAGGATAGGGACACCGGACGGCGATACGTAACGCAGTGATTCCCTAGTAATAAGTATATAAGTTAAGGAAGTAGTAGAGAACTTCTATGATTTGAGGATAAAAGTTAAGAACCTCTATGAGTTAAAGTTGAAATGAGTTATTAAGGATGAAAGTGAGAACGACTTTCATCTAAGGAAAGGAAACGCTAATAATGTGTTTTAGTAAGGAGGTTGCTTAGGGCAAAGACCCTAGGAAGTAACGGCGAGACTGACCCCTTCTCACTCACCAGGTTGAGGAAGGGTTAGCAGAGATGGATTCCGAGAAGAAGAAGTAAGATAAGACGAGTTGTCACACCAGCGTGGTCGAGACCTCAGGGAATCAGCAAGGAGTTAATGTTGTAGTTAGTTTAGTTATTTGGTTCATGATTATGAGTTTATGTACGGGAGATTACAGGTTCAAGGTTCTGGGTTAAGTTGTTTTAAGTATTGTGTTTGCCCAAGTGTTAGGGCTTTTCGTTTGAAATTCTTAAATAATGTCCGTTTGTTTATTTTAAAAAGTGGTTTGGGTTGCTCCGGAGTAACCGGTTTTTGGTTTTGAGTTATGGTTTGGTTTTCGAAAAAGTTCGGGACATTTCATTTTGGTATCAGAGCCGGCACTCCTCTGTTTCTTGGTCTCCAAGGAATACTGGAGTACGATCTGAGTTTTCAAGGTTTTTATTTTTAAAGTAAAGGAAGAAGGGGTGTCAGGTTTAAGGTTTGGTCAACGAGTCAGGTTTCTTTTGAGGATTTTTTTCGAATCTCCAGTTTATACTAAAATTATGAGTAGGAAATTAACTCTAAGAGATAGTACGAGGTGTTGACACGTCTTGGGAAGGAGAAACAGCAGATCCTTCGAGGATCGTTTAGTGAAACCCCTTCATGAGTGAGAAGAGGAGGGTCAAGGCATCTCCTATCATATGGGGATGTGAACTTATCATAATAAGATTCAGAACGGGGTCGAGTATCTAGTACATCGACATGCAGTAGCCAAGGAGTTATGGCAAATGGCGGCCATCGTGGAGAGGAAAGGATGAAAAAGGGTTTGTCAAGTTCATGAGGATGAAGCTTAGGGCTACCTCCCTAAGGATCAATCGAAAGTTAGTATTTATGCGACGGTAGGAGCGC